TGGCTCCTCAAAGCCTTCCACACCTCTTGCTGCAGCTGCCGCTTGCATGGAGACAAAGAAGAATTGGCCCAGGTATCGATCTTCACTCGAGTCCTTGTCGTAGTCTCCACCTTTCATGCTTGCCGCTTCGCTTCCACGACCACCACGGCCTCCACGACCTCTGTCTCTTCCTCCCCTTGCTCCTCTTCCCTCTTGGCCTTGAGAAGGGGTCCATCCATCAGGCAATCTGAAGCAATCTCTCCACATCTGGCCGGTCTTGTGGCAAAAGTGGCATTCGCCATCAAATCGACCGCGCCCACGCCCGTAGCCATTGTTATTGTTGTTGCTGCCATATCCTCCATTACCACGGCCTCCATTGAAGTTACTGCTGCCAAATCTTCCTCCTCGTCCTCTGCCCCTTCCACGGCCGTGCCCACGGCCCATGCTTGCAACTCCGGCACCATCGGGACCCGCCAATTCGCGACGGCGGAAATCTTCTTGTAAGATTTCCCGCTTCACATCTTCGAGTGAGAGACGGGGCAGATCTCGATTAAGGTTGATGATGAGCAATGACCATGAGTTCGGAAGTAAGGCCAGCAGCTTGGTCTTCTTTTGAAGGTCACTGTAGTTCAGCTCAGCTCCTTCGAGCCGTGTCAACAAGTCGAAGAATTTCTGCACTCCTTCCTCGACCGAGTCGCCTTTGTCAATTCGAAGTGCCGCCATTTGCCGCTCCAAAACCACAGCCACCGCCGCTATTGCACGAGCGTGTACACCCTTGAGACCAGCCCATGCCTTTGGTCCCTTTGCTGGTTCACGCTGAAAAGGCTTGATGTGACGGATTTGGCTGCTCCCCAACGCTTGCCTAAGTAGAAGGTAGCCTTGTGCGCTCTTCCCCACCCACGGGCTCTTCTCCGGGTCGTTCTCGGGGCGCTTCTCCGTTCCTTCCATAATCTCCAGCAGATCATAGTGGTCAAAGATATTCTCCATCTTGAAGGACCACTCAGCAAAGTTGTCACCGTTGAACTTGTCAAAGCCAAACACTCTAGGCTCATCCCTAGAGGGTCCAAGGCTAGGTTGCACCGGAGCAACGGGTGGATCTTGGTGTTGACCTTGTGCTTGGGCGTCTTCTCTGCCTCCAGCACCTCTGACACCCCCTTCCTCAGGTCTAGGCATGGTCGAGACGGCTCCAAGGGGCTCTGATACCACTTGTTATAATCACAATAGGCTCAGATGTGCCTAAAATGAGAGATATTCAGGACAGTTAGAATTCCGTCAGACAGCTTCAAAACTTGATGGCGATGTGATCTGTGCGTTAAACGGTGATCTGTAAATTTGATCTGAAGCACGTTGCTGTTGCCTATTAGCAGCAAGTTGAATCATAAAATTCTATGAAGATTTGACGACGCTATGGCGGTTTTCTTGGCAGGAGGTACAGTAGCCACTATAGTCTTAGGAGTACAAACTTAGCAAGAAGAGTTCGAGAGGGAGATGGTTCCCAGCCTCTACATACCCCAAGAGCCGAGGTCCAGGTTGGTGGTACACCACCACAGAGTCCCCAACCATGAAGAGTCTCGAAACCAACCCTCCAAGGGGCTACACCAAGTGAAATGTAACACTGCACGAAGTAACGTAACTATTTTCACTATTTAATATTTATCCGCGTCCCTTGGGCTTGAAATCTTGAGCTCTTGTTCTTGGATCTGCAAGATTAATTCTTCTTGAGTTGATGGGGGCTTGCTGCACACACCTGCGACGCGATGGACACTTCACACTCGACAAAATAGAAAAAACACATGCGACACACAAACGACGACTTGACATGCGAGTTGTAAAAACTCGCTAATGTCTTGACCGACGCAAGCCACACTGTGATACACCATTCAAACATTCACACAAGCACTAGATAGCACTGACATAGACTCACAATTCATTCCATGCCATGCATGCACACACACAAACAAGGATGACAAGCCGAGTGCAAGCCATAGGATTGCACCAACAGTTGCTGCACAGGGCCAAGCGTTGCAAGCTAAGACTGCACTACATCCCGACGAATAAGCGATCGGCATGTTATTTTACCAAGGCGCTGCATTTTCCTGCTTTTGACATGTGCTTCGGCAGAGCGGGTAAAGCGAGATTTCCATTTGGTTTCCAATTCCTTATTTTATGTTATCCTTTGGGTTATTTTTTGGGCTGTATTGGCTAACTCTATCCGGCGTAATCCTGCTGTAATCCCTTAAAGCCAATTGCCTCGCATGGCTATACGCAAGGTGATTCTATTCTCTAGAAGGGTCTATTCCCCTTTGATATGATAAACATGGTTACCTTATGTACCGTACAAGTATAGAAACTCCTTGGATCAATCGATAGTGCCACTTTCTCTCGACCAATTCGATCATGTAACACTAGGTAATCAGAGTTTTTTTTCACTTGGCCATGCTCAACGAAGTAGCAACAACAGGAAAACCTGCCACGGAAAACCGTCGGGGATGACTAATTCGGCACCGATTCTGGTAAGCACCAGCTCCGCGTTGTTTTAACTAACCCCTCTGCATGCGTTTTGAACATAATGGTGAATTTCGACAACGCCGAGGTTACCCAACAGCTCTTTGCTCGCATCACTGCCCTACAGGAGGAGATGCGAGCTGATCGCAAAGCTTGGCGAAACGAGTTCGAGCGTGTAACTTGCCTCGGCGGAGCGCAGTACGGAACGAGAACAGCGACGACGCAATAGTCGCAACGGTTTCTCGAGGCTCTGAAGCCGCGCCAATCAGAGCCGTTCGATCTGAGCGATCGAAATTCCGATGTCCGCAGCAGGATCGTCAGCATGAAAATCTACTTTACTTCGCATCTATCGGATGGAGCTCGCCGATTTGGGATGGTTAGCGCGTGCGACTCACGACGACACTAATGCGAGGGACGGCACTCGAATGGATCGGCGGCAAAAGTGCTTTTATCCACGGCGAATCCACGTGGCAACAGTTCCACACCGACCACCTGAAACGTTTCAAACCGATAAAATCGGGCTTCCCTGCCCGAGAAAAAATCATCGCCATCGACGGTTTGGGAGTGTCGCGCAGTACATACAGCAGATGGAGGAATTTTGTGACCTCATTCCCGACCTGACCGAAGGGGAAAAAATACCGTCATACTTCGTCGGGCTGAATACCGGAGTCAACGCCAGAACATGACGGGCGCACGTCGGCAGTATGCGACAGGGCGAGCGCTTGGCATACCCCACGTTCGCCTACCTAATTGAAATCGACAAGTTCAACAAGCGGCCACATAAAAAAAAAAAAGCCAATTTAACGTGCGATTTTTGCGGAGTGTCAGGTTATCGAATCTTCGACTGCAACAAAATGAAGGCTGTACGTACAGAGTATTGGGCACGCACCAGTAGCGAGAAATCTTCGGCCAGTCAGAAATAAAAAGCGGGAATCGCTAGTGATTGCGGATCTAGCTAGCGAAAAAAGAAAAAGAAAAAAGGGAGATCCGGATGCAGCTGCATGAGGGAAAATCAACTTCAACGAAGCTGATTCGATGTGAGCAAAAGGAAATGATGGGAAAAAATCTCCACCCCACGACTAGTCTTTGCCTGGGGAAATCATTGAGCAAAAATCAGTCTTCGTAAAAAAAGGCTCTATCGAGACCCAATAAATTATAAAATTTTACTAAAATTATCTTATCGAGCGGCTAGAGCCTTCGAAATTTTATGGGAGGGACTCCAAACGAAGCAGAAAATTCTGGAGATTATATCGGTACCGAAAAACTTAGGGGAAAAAAATTAAGGAGTGTGGAAAAGAGCCGACCTTTTTACGGAGTCAACGTCCTCTTCCGATACCATCCCACAGCGGCTACCCGTTCCCAAGGGACGACGTCAGTGCAACTGAAGCAGCTCAAGAGGAAGCTGGGGGTCTACAAGAAGCCTCAGAAGCCCCGAATTCCATATTTGGATGCATCCAACTCAATGGCATCGACAATACGTACGATCCTTCTCCAAGCAGCCCTTCTCCAAGCAGCCTCGGCTAGCTGCTAGCTCAAGAGTAGATAGCAATGAACAGGTCTGTACATCATATTGGGATGTACCGTATGTTCCTATTAATGAAACTATCTTTGAGTCCTTTGAGCAACGCTTGTAAAGGGCTCATTGTGCTCGAGGTCATCTGCAAAAGGCGACGCCTCCAAGCACTTGTGGACAGCGGAGCTTCACACATCGTATGCGACAAGGAAGCAATCGACCGACTTCGAGAAGAGTGTAAGCCTTCGACATTTTCTGCAATGATGGTGGATGGTAGCAAGTTACCTATCCACGGCGAAGCAGTGTTACCTCGACAAATTGGACCACTTCGCTGGAAGCCTGCCCTTCCCATCACCAATATAAATGGGATTGACTTGATCTTTGGGCGTTCAACCCCGAGATCAAGTGGGTCAACCACACAGCAAGTATTTGCAACAAAGGAAGGAGAGTCCAGCTACTCAACTACGACATAAGAGATATCCCTGTGGAGATACTCGTTAGTTTCGAGAAGGACGTGAAATGAACCAACACCGGGTTTCTTGGCAATAGCAACAAATGCAGAAGACGATGGAAACAAAACCTCGGAACCTCCACAGAATTTCAAGGAATTACTACGGAAGTTCCATGACATTCTTCCTGACGATCTTCCCAACGAGCTACCACCGTATCGCATGCACCAACACGAGATCGTGGAGGAACCGGGCTCGAAGCCGACCTTCCGAGCACCATACCGGCTCAGACCTACAGAGCTAGCAAATATGAAGAAACAAATCGAGTATCTTCTTGAGAAAGGACTCATCCGACCTTTCACTTCACCGTACGGTGCCCCGGTACTCTTCACACCGAAATTGGACGGAAGCATGTGCATGTGCATCGACGTCTGAGCTCTCCACAAGCAAACTATAAAATTTAAATATCATATTCCATGGATCGATGACCTGCTTGACAAGCTTTGGGAGGCTACAGTATTTTCCAAACTAGATTTACAGTTCAGATACTGGCAGATATGAATGGAGGACAACTCCATCCACAAAACTGCCTTCCAAACTCGCTACAAGTCGTACGAAGAGCGATTTTGCCATCAAGAAGGTCTAATTGTTAGGATACATGGTGAACACTCAAGGAGTCCACGTCGACCCGAAGAAGATCGAAGCTGTACGTACGTGGAAGATGCCCGAGAACGTGAAGGAGTTGCAGCAGCTACTCGGCTTCACCAATTATTACAACAGATTCATGCCACACAACACAAAAAAGTTGGCGCACCGCACACAAATCTACTGAAGAATAATACACCCTATCAGTGGGAACCAAGACACCAAGAAGCTGCGGGGCATCTGAAACAAGCACTTATGTCTGCACCAGTACTCATCCTGCCAGATCCAGAATGCGACTACGTCATCGAAGTTGATACCAGCGACCAGGCAGTTGGAGCAGTCTTGATGCAAGACCAAGGGAATGGAATGCAACCAATCGCCTACCTCGGTAAAAAAAATACACTGGCCAGAGCGAAATTACCCGATACACGACAAGGAGGCCCTTGCTATTATCATCGCCTTCAAAACGTGGAGATGTTATCTCAAAGGACGAAAAACGACTGTCTACGCCGTCCACTAAAGCCTAAATTTTTTGAAGACACAGCCAAACCTCTCCAGGCGACATGTCCGGTGGCTTGACTTCATCTGGACACATTTTCATGACGACATCGTGTACAAGCCAAGATACAAAAAGAACGCAGACGCTCTCAACCGACCTGCACACGTTGCCGCTGTCCAAGTTGAAGAAATACTAAGGCAAGAGCGCTTGTTAAGTGTGGAGCGATTCTGGCAGAGTAACGCTATAGGAACAGCGTGCTAGGCGCCGGTGGTATTTGGGCAGAGTTCGACTTCAAGTACTTGGTCGAAATTCGAGTCCCACACATTACACCAACCATGGATAGGCCATGGCACCATCTGAAACACACGCCGCACCAGCCATGGATAGGCCATGGCACCATCACAAGAAGAAACCTAGGTAGAGCCAGAAGCGTATGCACAGATACGCTCATAGTCATGGAATGTTGCCAATGCGCATTCGTCGTACTCACCCCAGCCTTCCTCCTTCCTTCCATGCCTCATGCTCTTCATCCGCTTCCTTCGATCAGCACCACTACGCGGAATACGGAAAGGGCTTGAAGAGACAGCCATCGTATACGTCTCACTTGTCCCACTGTATCAAATTAATGGGAAAAGGCTGGGAAATGTAACGCTTTAATGAGATAGTCAGCAGGTTATTCGCTGGTAGAGATGTACTGCAGATCCAGCTTCCTGCACTTGACCATGTGCTGCAGCAACATGTGATGCCGCTCCATGTGCTTGAGGCTTTCCTTAAGCCCCATGCCACCTGCCACAGCAATCGCAGACGAAATATCGACAAAGAGTGGCGTAGGCTCCTCACACTTTAGCAGCTGAAACTCTGCCAAAAGGAAGCGCAGTTTGTGAGCCTCCTTCCATGCTTCAACTGCGGCAATATACTCTGACTTAGTCGAGGAGAGAGTGACACAACGAATCCTCTGACTCACCCAAGCAGTAGCACCACTGAACACAAAGACGTAACCTCCTGGGCTGCTCCGGTTCTGCTTGTCTCCTGGATCATCAGCGTCTGCATACCCTATCAACTCCAAAGACACTGGACCCCCACTGTATTCCAAGGCCGCATCCTTGGTCCCCACCAAGTAGGTCAAGCACCGCTCCAACTCTTTCCAGTGCTGGTCACTGCGCACTGTTTGTCCTGGCCCTAGCTTACTATATGCGAAGGCGATGTCAGGGCGTATGGAACAGGCAACAAACTGCAAAGATCCAACTTTCTGCCTGTACTCCTCCTCCTGCCTCGACTGCCACCCCTCATCCTCAAACGCCAGCTCACTGAATAGGTCGGAGGAGAGAGGGGTCTGTGTTGGTGCAACCCTATGGCTTGCACTCGGCTTGTCGTCCTTGTTTGTGTGTGTGCATGCATGGCATGGAATGAATTGTGAGTCTATGTCATTGCTATCCAGTGCTTGTGTGTGTGTTTGAATGGTGTATCACAATGTGGTTTGTGCCGGTCAAGACATTAGCAAGTTTTTACAACTCGCATGTCAAGTCGTCGTTTGTGTGTCGCATGTGTTTTTTCTATTTTGTCGAGTGTGAAGCGTCGATCGTGTCGCAGGTGTGTGCAGCAAGCCCCCATCAACTCAAGAAGAATTTATCTTGCAGATCCAGGAACAAGAGCTCAAGATTTCAAGCCCAAGGGACGCGGATAAATATTAAATAGTGAAAATAGTAACGTTACTTCGTGTAGTGTTACATTTCACTTGGTGTAGCCCCTTGGAGGGTTGGTTTCGAGACTCTTCATGGTTGGGGACCCTGTGGTGGTGTACCACCAACCTGGACCTCGGCTCTTGGGGTATGTAGAGGCTGGGAACCATCTCCCTCTCCAACTCTTCTTGCTAAGTTTGTACTCCTAAGACTATTGTGGCTGCTATACCTCCTGCCAGTCAAACCGCCATAGCGTCGTCAAATCTTCATGGAATTTCATGATTCAACTTGCTGCTGATAGACGACAGCAACACGCTCCAGATCCAATTTACACATCACCGTTTGATTCAGTGACCAGATCGTTATCAGTATTTGAAGCCGTCTGACAGAAATCCGACTGTGCTCTCTATCTCTCATTATAGGCACATCTAAGCCTATTGTGATTATAACAAGTGGTATCAGAGCCCCTTGGAGCTGTCTCGACCATGCCTAGGCCTGAGGAAGGGGGTGGCAGAGGTGTTGGAGGCAGAGAAGACGCCCAAGCACAAGGTCAACACCAAGATCCACCCGTTGCTCCGGTGCAACCTAGCCTTGGACCCTCTAGGGATGAGCCTAGAGTGTTTGGCCTTGACAAGTTCAACGGTGACAACTTTGCTGAGTGGTCCTTCAAGATGGAGAACATCTTTGACCATTATGATCTGCTGGAGGTGATGGAAGGAACGGAGAAGTACCCCGAGAACGACCCGGAGAAGAGCCCGTGGGTGCGGAAGAGCGCACAAGGCTACCTTCTACTTGGGCAAGCGTTGGGGAGCAGCCAAATCCGTCACATCAAGCCTTTTCAGCGTGAACCAGCAAAGGGACCAAAGGCATGGGCTGCTCTCAAGGGTGTACACGCTCCTGCAACAGCGGCGGTGGCTGTGGTTTTGGAGCGGCAAATGGCGGCACTTCGAATTGACGAAGGCGAACCGGTGGAGGAAGGAGTGCAGAAATTCTTCGACTTGTTGACACGGCTCGAAGGAGCTGACCTGAACTACAGTGACCTTCAAAAGAAGACCAAGCTGCTAGCCTTACTTCCGGACTCATGGTCCTCGCTCATCATCAACCTTAATCGAGATCTGCCCCGTCTCTCACTCGAAGATGTGAAGCGGGAAATCTTACAAGAAGATTTCCGCCGTCGCGAATTGGCGGGTCCCGATGGTGCCGGAGTTGCAAGCATGGGCCGTGGGCACGGCCGTGGAAGGGGCAGAGGGCGAGGAGGCAGATTTGGCAGCAGCAACTTCAATGGAGGCCGTGGTAATGGAGGATATGGCAGCAACAACAATGGCTACGGGCGTGGGCGCGGTCGATTTGATGGCGAATGCCACTTTTGCCACAAGACCGGCCACATGTGGAGAGATTGCTTCAAACTACCTGATGGCTGGACCCCCTCTCAAGGCCAAGAGGGCAGAGGAGCAAGGGGAGGAAGAGGCAGAGGTCGTGGAGGCCGTGGTGGCCGTGGAGGCGAAGCGGCAAGCATGAAAGGTGGAGACTACGACAAGGACTCGAGTGAAGATCGATACCCGGGCCAATTCTTCTTTGTCTCCACGCAAGCGGCAGCTGCAGCAGGAGGTGTGGAAGGCTTTGAGGAGCCAGCTACTGTGGGAAAGGTCACCCTTCACTCTCTGGACTTTTGGGTGATCGATAGCGGCGCCACCTATAGCATGACACCTCGTGCGGACTTGCTCACCGAACTCGAACCGTCGCCGGTCAAGCATGTTACATCGGCTTTGGGACAGCGAGCAGAGGTGAAAGGCATGGGCAAGGCCATGTTCAAGGGTGCTGATGGGAAGATGGTGGGCCTCAAGAACGTGCTTTTGGTGCCCAACCTAGCAGCCAACCTGATTTCCGTTCGGCGTTTGCAAAAGGCCGGCATGGACACATCTTCCAAGGGTTCGAAAACATATACCGCGAGGCTTGGTGAGCGGAAGCTTTGGGACCTTCATGAGGACAGGGACATCTACAATGAGATGTGGCAAATCCCAGTGGTCCCCATGCCTAAGGAGAGGCAAGTGGCAGCAAGCGTCAGCACCAAGAGTGAAGCGGATGGTGGCGGTGATCACGGAAAACAAAGTGACACCAAGAGTGACTCGAAGGAGTGCAATCTTGGAGAGACCAGCAAGGCGTGTGAACCCAAGGAGAGTAGTGCAGCAGCCAAAGGTGGTGGAAATGAGGAGGGGAAACCTAAGATCAGCAAAGCAGCAGCGGCGAAGGAGAAAGGAGAGAGCTTGTGGGACACGATTGCGAGTGCCGCTTTCTCCAACCCGACTTCCGCTACGGGAGAGTGTGATTGGCTGACCTTGCATCGGCGAATGGGGCATGTGGCATTGCCCATTTTGCAGCAGATAGTTAAGCAAGAGATGGTCAGTGGGATACGTGTCAAGGGGGAGCCCAATGAGGTGCTTGGCTGTCCAACATGCATGCAAGCCAAGTTCACCCGCTACCCGTTCCATAGCTCGGAGACAACGGCGAAGGCACCACTTGATGAGGTGGTGATGGATGTGGTGGGCCCCTTGAAGCTTGGAGCTGCTGGAGCTGCGTACTTCCTCACCATTGTGGACGTCTACACTCGCATGACTTGGGTGTATGTGCTGCCAAAGAAGAGTGACGTAGCTGAAACGGTGAAGACCGATTGGTTGCCGATGGTGGAGCGGCAACAAGACCGACTTGTGAAGGCGATTCGCACTGACCGTGGGGGAGAGTTCCTGAGCAAGGATTTCTCAACTTGGCTGAAGAAGCAGGGCATAAGGCACTCTCTTACCATGCCCTACTCTCCTGCAATGAACGGCATCGCCGAGCGTGCGAATCGGACACTCACGGAGACGGCTCGGGGACTTCTCATTGAAGCCGGTCTTCCCAATTACTTTTGGCCGGATGCGGTGCGGCATGCTTGTGTGGCCAAGAACAGAGCCTTGACTCATGTGGGAGAAGACAAATGGGTGCCCTATGTGGAGTGGATTGGAAGGAAGCCGAAGGTGGATATGCTTCGGGTGTTCGGGTGCATGTGCATGGCACTTGTGCCTAAGAAACTTCGGCACAACAAACTTGATGCCAAGGCAACATGGGCCGTGCACCTGGGCATGGCTCAAAACAGCAAGGGATGGCTTCTTTGGGACCCATTTACCAAGAAGTTCTTGGTGAGCAGAGATTGCAAGTTCATGGAGAACTTACCGTACAAGGAGTGGAAGGCGGAGAACCAAGCGAAGATTGGTATGCGGCTTGGAGAGGTGAAGAGTAACGGCTTGGAGCATGTGGAGCTGCCCTTGGAGCTGAGTAGCAGCAGCACAGTCACGAGGCAATCTCCTCAAATGAATGGGGATGAAGAGGAGGAGGAGGTGCAGCAAGGTGATGAGCGTGCACCGTCACTTCCGCCTCGTGCTACAAGTGCTCGTGG